ATTATTATTTTCATTATAATCAATAAGTTGTTCAAAGTGGCATTATCATGCTCCCACAGTATCCAAATGAAGGAATTATTTTAGATAATGTGGAATTAATTGGCTACCATGTTCAATAGGATATTTAAGATATAAAACTTACATAAAAGCTTTATCACTAAAGGATTTCTTAATGTGAAATAATGTCTTCTTGGACAGTTTTCTATTTGTATCACAAAACCCCTGTCCTAGAGATGATCTTGTTTCCATCTTTTACTTATGTTTATAAATCACTGTTTTAGGTATGTGCAGTTTGCATCTTTGATGGCTAACAGTCTGGTGGAGAGCCAGGTGTCTCTAATCCTAATTCAGTCTAGGGTTGTGACCAATGGGGAAGTGGCATATTCTAATGTCTTGTATGTTTGGAATTCTCTGTCCCAACTTTGGTGAGCCCATCTCAGATATGTTGAAAGTTGAAATAATTGTTTCCGTCTTAGAGATGTCATTGGGCATATGGAAAGAGTCACCACAGTATTATCTTATTCCTAGCAACCTAGTTACAACTTGAGCAAATAGGAGTCAATCTATAGGAGATATTACATTAATGACTGAAGATGAGTAATTCTCCAATTTTATGTTCAGGTTGTGGTGTCATAGTGAAAACACAGAAGTTAGCTCATTTCCTTTTGGAAATTGGCGCTTAGGCCTCTAACTTATCACCTTGTAACTGTGTGTTCTTCATAAAGGTTTATCTTTCCATAATACCCTTCTGCTCTTCTCTTGCCTCACTTACTGCCTTCTCCTTGCCTTCCTATAGTAGATGAATCTGAAATACATTTTAACTTTCTCAATTCAGGATTCTATCAATCCTCATGAAAGGTGATTGTCATACTAGAAATTACACCAAACAGCTGTGCTGAAAAGTGGCTGTTCCAATTTTGCTCCAGATAGTAAACCATAGAAATCCTAGTCCCCCCAACCAGTCCCGTATTTTTGACTCCCAGCTGAGGATCCTCAGAGTGATCAGCTCACTGCAGTGTTGCTGTGTAGAGTGCCACGTTTGGTACTTAGGAAAGTATTAGATTTTGGAAGAGAGCAATGCTGAGTAAAATCCAGTTGAATAACGCAAATATTTGCTTCCTCACTAAACTGTTTAAAAAGGATGGTTGAAAATAACTTACCAATATTCTTGATTAACATTTTCAGACATTTACCATGGCCCATTTGCATTATGGTTCTGAACTACATCTTGTGGACATTATTTTGCATAAATGTGTTTTCAGAATGTCATCTCTAAAAAGCAAAGTGAACCAGTTTTATAAAGCTTGCCTAATTAAAGACGTTTCTTATTTACCCTATTTAGGTTATGCTTTCCTTAATGAATTTAATTTTTTTTCTTTTAAATTTAATAATGCTTCCAAGAATGTTTATTATCCAGCATGGGACTATTGGGGGACTATAAGAATTGGTATAAAACTGGTATAAAGTTGGTATAAAACAGTATTACTGTAATTAGAATGACACTTGTTGTGGTAAAAAAATGAGAGGAAAAGAGACAACATTATTTTAATGCAGCTAATAGAGTGAAACGAGACCATGGAGTGAGGTTTTTTTAGGCTTTCTAAGTGACTATAAATATCGTTCTCTTAACTGGTGTGGTATTTGACAGTCTTACATAGCTATAAGTTTATCAAATATGTCTCTTACAGTGCTTTTTCTCCTAAATATTTATAAATTATAGTAAACTGGTTCTCATCAGACTGAGTAGAAACCTAGCTGTGAGCCCTGCTTGTTATCAGAAACTCACATGAAAAGGAACAAAAGAGAGTGAATGTGTTGCATGTTTAGGCTACTGCATATAAGAGTAGCAGTTAAGAGCAAGGAATTTGGAGTTATATAGACCTGGATTTTACCGCCTCAGAACCCAGTAATATGGCTATCAATGTATAGGTGCCATCTATTTCCACACAAGACCTTTTAGAGTCAGTGTTTTTTTCCCCCTCCATCTCTTTTTAGCTTGTTATCTTAAAGTATGATTAAATCATCTTATGTATGCAGACAAAAATTGAATTTGTGTATGGGATATTCCTTAGTAATTATGTTTGGGAATGGGGAGGTAATGTAAAAAAGAAATCTAGAGATTTGTGTGAGTTTTTGGAGAAATGAGATCTTTAAATAAAATGGAAACAGTGACATTAAGTGTAGATCAACTTGGTAAATGCTGAATGAAGAGACTAGTTACTGTTCAGTAGGATTTGGTCACTTTACCTAATTTTCAGTACTTTGGGTAAATAACCACATGAATTCAATTACTATTTGTGAGTTTCCTTCAAGATGAGAAAACTTCCTTTACTTTTGGCTACTGACCTTCTCTACTGATTTAGCACTTGAAATCTAGCCAGAAGAGATGTTTATAGTGATGAAGTTGTTTTTGGCCTAGGGTATAAATTGCAGAAGATGTACCTAGATTGGATATAGTCTTTTTCTATTTACCCCGATATGTGGCTGTACAGTCTCCGAAGTGGTTGCTTGGTCTACAAGCTGGGTGGCATGGAGTTTGACATGTGGTCAAATGGTAATACGTACGTTTGACAACACTTCATGGAGGTCACAGCTGTTTCTGTGTCTTGACATTTAGTGCCTAAAGCTTATCTAATCAAGCCTGTGTAATGCCAATTAACAATGCCCAATTAGATATGCTGTCCGGCCTTCTAGTTTTGCTCTTGGCAGGCTTGGAGAGGAAAGCATCTTTCTCCTGGATGACAAGGATTTGAAAAATGGTAATGGCAATCGAATGCTGGTTATCCTTTTCAAGATCTGAAAGAAATCATGATTAAAAACTTGAATAGGCAACAAAAAAGTGTTTTTTCCACTTGATGTCTTGAAAAGAGAAATTGGAAATGCCTTCCTATATACCACTTTTTTAGTTAATTGCTGGAAATAACTATAATGATGATAGCTATCATATTTTGACTCTTTTTTTTTTTTTTTTAATGCACCGGGCATTGAGATAAGCGCTTGACCTACTATATATCATTTATTCTTTACCTGATCTTAATACTAGATTACTTTATTATGACCATTTTACAGATGGGCATGCTACTTTTATCTTTCTGAATCTCAATCTCCTCTTCTCCACAAAGAAAGTGCTAGGCGGAGTGGGAGATTTTAACTCAGGTCTGTTTAACTTCAAAGTCCTGTTTACTCCTGTTCTTACCTGCAGTAGCCTAAATATCCAATAAATCCATTTTACTGGGTTCCTTTCCTGGTGACTTTTTGATAATGAGCAGTCATCATAGCTTGCCTTCTACTCAGTTTGATGGGAACCAGTTTATATAAGACATGATTTGAGTGACGTTATAATGGTTCATATCCAGGGCAGAAACAATTGTCATAAGGTACATAAGGCAGCAAAGAAAGACCTATAGTTTGCTTCTGAGAAGAGGTGAACCCTGATTTTCTGAGTGTAAGCAAATATGGGAGAAAGGAAGACCAACTAATAAAGACAATGGATCAGCTGGAGTGACTATCTTATTCAATGCCTTCATCTCAATCTCCTCTTCTCCACAAAGAGGTGTCATGGTGTCAAATCCTTCTGTAGCTCCCCTTTGCCCCTGTGGCTCCTTGTATTTGAACCTTTTCCTGCCTGTCTATGAGTAATAACAACGACAGTTAATAGCTGAAACAGCCAACTCTTATGAGGCTCTCACTTTACGTGAATGGTGGCAGATACCAACAATTTTTTTTTTTACCATCTCTGCTCCAGTGGAAATAATCCTCTTCATTCTTTATAATATACAGAGGTAATACATGGACTAATTGATTGTGGCAATAGTCTTTCATTAATGATGTGAGTTTTCAGGCTCTTGGGATAAAGTGTTTGCATATATTATCTCATTTAATTCTTAAAGCAATCCTCATCATTGTTTCACAATTGAGTAAACCGAGTCTCAGAGACATTAAGTAAGTTGCCCAGTGTCACACAGCTGGGTGAGGGATGAAGGCTGGATTGAAACCTGGGTATGCAAATTCTAAACCTGGTATGCTGAACCAGAAAACAATTAGAACCTTCTAGAAGGTTGCCTGACTTAGTTTTCTGATTTTAGACAAAAATGAATCCCAAACAGACAATGCCAGCTTGGCCTGAAGATGAGTCCTATTTGGTTTATTAAACATATTTGACTTGAAGGCTGCCTTTTTTCTTTGTTTCTTTTTTGTTTTTCTGGTAGTTGGGGAGCAGAGCATTCCTGTTTGCAGTAGGCCCCATCTCTATCACTGGGCTGCTTCCTACACCCAGCTTTCCTGCCAGGCCCATAAACATATTTGAGTTTATGACTCTAGTCTCAAAGGTCATGAACAGACAGTTCACTCTTTCCTTGAGTGTGTTGAGAAATGAAGATTCCACAACCACTTTCTCCTACGATGTTGTGTTTCCCTGCCAACGTCTAAAAAATATCCCTTGCTTTTAGTTTTAATCAATTTCCTCCCCCCTTATCCAACCCTATCAAAATAGAGAAGAACAACTCAGAAAACAGTTGGTTTCCAAGAATACGGTTATTAAATTAAATACTCTATTTGCATCTTGTCTTTAAACCTTTCCCCCGTGTAACCCAGTCTTCCGTTTGACATCTCAGATGGCTGACAGGTAGTTAGCTTCTCTGACTGGCAGATTGGTGCTTCTGCCACACGGGAGTGTCATTAACAGTAAAATTAGTACCTCTGGCTTGGATTTATTTAGCATCTTCTGACACTCCAAAGAGCAAGGGAACACATGCCTTGCTTACCCTTGGGATGGTAGAGTATTAGATTAAACTGGTAGGAAATATTTGAACATCCTCCATAAACAGACTTTGTGTTTAGGCACATTGATGTTTTTTGAAGTTCTTTATTGCCTTCGTTTTCAAAGTTGGTCTGAGAGAGCTTTTACCACCTTTGGAAGTTGTATATCGTTACCACTTTCCTTGTTGTTTAAAAAAGAAAGGATTTTAAATCAGCTACCAACACTGGATTTTCTTTTTCAGATGCAAAAGAAATTGTTTTAAAAGCACAGATCTTAGCTGGAGGAAGAGGAAAAGGTGTCTTCAGTAGTGGTTTGAAAGGAGGCGTTCATCTAACAAAAGAGTAAGTCTGGAAGTTTTAATTCCCTTGTCTTTGGGCCAAGTACATATGGAAGATCTTGCTGGTGATTGAAAGGAGCACTGAAAAAGAGGGTTGGGGTGGGGTGAGGAGCAAGAGGTAGCAAGCAGAGGAAACAAATTATAGGTAGAGGGGTCTGGCAAGGCCCGTTTTCCTTCTGCTTCCATAAAGGGATTTTTCTTCACTGACTGGTGAAAACTTGACACTCCTCCTCTCCTAGAGAATCAATGGTTTACCATAAATCTTGGAAAGGACACCACTTGCAAATTAAATGCTGCTTCCATAATGTCACTGCCCTGTTCAAGAACCTGCAGTGGCTCCCCATCACTAGTGGTGTGAGTTGTCCCTCCCGTGTGATGGTCCAAGCCTTCCTTTATCAGAGCCTATCTGTTCAGCTTTATCTCCAGTATCTCCCAGGCCTGAACCCTTTCCTCTCCTCTCCTTCCCATACCTTTTCATTATTTGCTTTGATCTTTACCCCCTCCCTTTCCCTCTCATGAGTCAGTACTTCCCAAACTGCCCACTATCTAGTCTTTGTCATTCAACTCTTATCTAAATCTGTTACCTATTTTGGCACTGTCTCTTTACTATGACTGTAACTTATTTGGGGATGGAGGAAGGCAGAGGTCAGCAAGCAGCTTTTCTTTTCTTCCTCCCCTTCCTTCCTCCCTCTGTCGTTCTCATTCCTTCATATCTGTTTTGCTCTCAGTGTGCCTCTGGTACATTGGCACATAGTATGACGAGCAGAAAGCCCCGTGAATTCCTTGAGGGTAGAGGTGGACCCTGTGCAGTATAGACATGAGGATATAATATAGACTCTGCTTTAAAATGGTTTTCAACGTGGATGTTGATTTTCCTTTCTTTTTCTCTCTCTCCTTTTTTTCTCTTAGTCCTAAAGTTGTGGGACAGCTGGCTAAACAGATGATTGGGTATAATCTAGCAACAAAACAAACTCCAAAAGAAGGTGTGAAAGTTAACAAGGTAATGTGAATGCTTTTGGTCATTTTCCATGCATGTGTTAAAAAAAAAAAGAAAAAATCATACTTCTGTTTTGATAGAATCTAATGAAGCAGTGCACTCTGGCGATGTGCCATTTTATTCTTTAAACCTCATTTAATCTGTTTAGAATGTGGTATGACTTTGAGGAGAAATAAAGAGGGTTCTATAATAGTTACAGTGTTTGTTATTATTATCAGCATTTAGCAAAAGCGGGTGGGTGAATGACCAGAGCAGTAGCCTGCCCTTTCAGAGAACAGACAACAGTCTGTTTAAAACTGGAAAGCTCTTCGTATGATAGCTCCTGTACTCAGTGAGGGACATTCCTGCTCCCCTGCAGCCTCACCCTGTGTATCGCAATTACCTGTCATGGTTGTTTTTCTAAGTGTTCCTACACCTTACTTTGAGATTACTACCATCTTGAGCCACTGTTGTTGCTTTGAATATTGTAAATTTGTAAGTGTAATAGTGAGGTCTGTTGGGGCATCCAAGTGTACATAGGGTGCGTGCACAGCTGTGTGCGTTTGCGCACGTGTGTGCACACACAGAAAATAAAGCCCAGAGCAAAGTGGCCTGCTTCCGTCATGACATTGTGAGTGGCAGGGCTGAAGCCAGAAATAACTCTTCCTCCTATCCGTTAACCTTTGCTATACCCTCCTCATGTATGGAGACGCCAAAACTGGCTACTTGATTTGCAGGACCCCGTGCAAAATTAAATGTGGGGACCCTCGTTCAAGTTTCAAGTCAGGTACAGCAGAACATTAAACCAAGAGACCAAGAGTGGGACCCTTCTGAGCATGGGGCCTTGTGCATCTCCACAGGTCACACACCCCAGCCCTGGGAGGCACAGTTGGTTAGCAGTCCCTATCGTAACAATGAATTAGGGCCCAACATTTTGGGGAGACAATGGTCTGCTCTGTTGACACAGCATCACAGTTGATGATCTCCACCAGTGTGCCATGTTTGGGGAAACTGAGGCAGTGCATTCTATTTTTACTTTCAGAGAGAGTTGCGTGGAAAATTCTTGATATAATGGGGGAAAAAAAATCACCAGCTGGTGCTTAGTGTACTGTAGGAGGGTCTATTCTGACCCAGAAAAGGGCACGGAGCTGGTGGGAGATGGGGATACTGGCAGCTCATCAGCTCCTTCTCTCTGAGAGCACAGGGCCTTTCCAAATGTTACGGAAGCAAACAAAGAAAACAGGTTATGGTTATTTCCCTTTCCCGCTGCCTCTCAGGTAGATGCAAAAACTGTTTAAAATTCAAAAGCGTTTTTTTGATTTGTTTTTCTTCTTCCCACACAGTATTTTCATTTCCTTTTTAAATCTGGTTGTGAACCTTTACCTGTGTTACTTCTTCAAATTTGTCCACAGAGCACATGATTACTATTTTTCTTTATAGTAATTCATTGTCTTATATGGACACATAGATTTTTAGATTAAAGTTTGTGATACTTTTTAAAAGCATGTGAAAATACACAACGAAGATTCACACTATATAGATAATCCGTAAAATTAGTCTGTAGATAGGTTCCTGGAATACGGGAGATAAGTGCATTTTTGTAAATTGAGTCATTGCCAAGAAACTACTAGAGTGATTTATTTTTAAGTAGTTTTTTTTTCTGATTGCAAAAGTGATTAACGTATGTAAAAAATTCCAATAGTATAGAAATATAAAAATTAGAAAGTAGAAGTTGCTTGTATTCTCACCACCGAGAAATAATTGACATAATATTGTTTCTGTCCTTTTGCTCTGTAAAATGTATGTTACCACATCTCTGTAACAACAACATTATATTCAACTTTAAGGAACGGGCATTTTTTGTTTATGGGATCTTAGACATCAATCAGAAGTCCCCATCTTTTCATGTGCCTGTTGGCCATCTGTATATCTTCTCTGGAAAAAAATGTCTGTTCAGATCCTCTACCCATTTTTCAATCAGATTGAAAAGATGTTCAACATCACTAATTATTAGGAAAATGCAAATTAAAACTACGGTGAGATATCACCTCATGCCCATCAAAATGTCTGTTATTAAAAAGACAAGAAATAACAAGTGTTGGAGAGGATACAGACAAAAGGAAACCCTTGTGCACTGCTGGTGGAAATGTAAATTGCTGTTGCCACTATGGAAAACAATATGGAGATTCCTCAAAAAATTAAAAATAGAACTACCATATGATCCAGCTATTCCACTTCTGAGTATTTATCCAAAGTCCAGGAAAATACTAATTTGAATAGATATATACACTCGTATGTTCATTGCAACGTTGTTTACAATAGCCAAGACTTGGAAACAATCTAAATGTCCATCGATGAATGAATGGATAGAGAAGATGTGGTATATGTATAAAATGGAATACTACTCAGCCGTAAAAAGATGAAACCTTGCCATTTGCAACAACGTGGATAGACCTTGAGGGTATTATGCTAAGTGAAGTAAGTCAGATAGAGAAAGACAAATACCATAAGATTTCACTCAAATGTGGAAGGTAAAGAAACAAACACATAGATAAGGAGAATAGATTGATGGTTACCAGAGGGGAATGGGTTGGAGGGAGGGTGAAAAGAGTAAAGGGGCGCGTGTGTACAGTGGTGGATAAAAGCTAGACTTTTGGTGGGGAACACATGTATTCTATATGGAAGGTAAAATACAATGATGTACACCTGAAATTTATGCAATGTTATAAATCGATTAAAAAAAAGAAGTCCCCAGATTATGGAAATTTTGGGTTTCTAAATTTGTTTGAGAAGCTATATAGTACATCTGTACACATGGGATATTTTTTTCTCAATCTGTGCCAGTGTGTTTGAGTATGTTCCTTAGGATAGTAGTAGGGGACGTGAAACAGTACTACTCCTCATGTGCTCCATGATTCACTGTCAGTAATGGTTACTGCTCTGCAATGAGTTAAGTTCCAAAACTCAGTTTACCTTTATTCTTATCTAATCACAGTCCTGTTACAAATAGTTTGTGCACTGGTACTCACCCACAGCCCGTAATTTGAGTAGCACAATATTGAAAGCAAAGAAACAAACAAAAATATGTTCAGTGGTCAAATAGGGTAAAGTAAGTTAAAAAGCTTTCCATGCTGGAGGACTCCACCAAAGGGTGTGTTGACGATATTGTTTGTGTCAGTCACAAGATGAAGCTTTTGTGAAATGTAGCTAACTGAGCTCTTCATGGCATGAGTGTTCATGGAGTCCATTTAGATTCTCTCTGTAATAGTTCCTGTAATATTCTGACATCCTGGGTCATATGTAATAATGTTAAAAAATTGGCTTTTATATAAAATTTCTTGAATTATCTATTGACAACCATCATTTTCCTGGGGATGTTTTCTTAAAGAGTTTCTACCAAGCAGGAGCTGTTTGAGACAGCAGCTGGTCTTTACAAACAGAAATTTGATGGAATGCAGAGCACATCTGTCAACAGTTTAGAAGATTAAGAATAGGACTCTTGAATGACACTTATCCGAAAAAGTTACAATGTTGTGTTGCTTCTAAGAATAACTACTGAAAGTCATTAAATCTTATACACGAGTCTAGCTCTGTATTAGAAAGTGAACTTGAAATCAGAATGTTTCTGTGATAATCCCAACACTGTGTGCCAAGAAATATTTCTTTACTAATCATGAACTACCATTTATGATGAAAGAATCAATGGTATTATAAGGTATTTTATTTTTAACTGGTGATAAACTCCATAAAGATTTGAAAAGGAGTTCTATATTCATTACATGATAGCTTTTTAGATCATCATATATTTATCATTTCCTGTGACTTAAAACTTAGGTTTTTGTGGCATCTGGGTAGCTAAAATCGAATGCTGTTGAATCTGTAACTTTTTGTGAAACGTATTACTGAACTACTTTTAGGAAAAGCAGTGTAAGTGTTTTTGTTATTTCCACTTCTAGTACTGAGTGTTTATGAATGTTCTCTTTTTCTTTTACAATTTATACAAGACATCTTTTACCATTTTTATTGGGAGTATAAGTTGATACAGCCTCTCTAGGGCAATTTTATAGTATTTATCAGATTTTAAATATGAAGAGTCTAAAACCTAGCCATTTTACTTGTAAGTACCTTATCTACAGGGAAACTAAAACAGCGAGCAAAGATATGTGCAAAAATAATCACCAAAGTAGCATTTTAGAAAAATTATATAAATGTCTGTTAGTAGGGATGTGGTTAAATAAATCTTGACATATAAGTACTGTATAGTCACAGTGCAGAGAGAGGACCTTGGAAAGATGTCCAAGTTGTAGTGTTAAGATTAAAAACAAGAAAGAAAGAAAGAAAGGCTTTTGAGTATGTATAATATGCTTCCGTGTGCAGGATGATTCCATGACTGTAATGCTTGCAGATGGATAGAAAAAAAGATAAAAGTAATTACCAGTGGTTTTTTGTGGGAGGGCTGCCACATGCTCTTTCTGAGTCTGTGCAGAGCAAAAGGACACCTGGCTGAGGCAGTGAGTGGGGAATGAACCCCTTCCATCCCACTTGTCTCTTGCCCGTTTATGGTCCTGGCGTGTGACTGCATCCTCCCCGAGGACAGGGTGACTTTTTCTGATTATGACAAATGTTCCATATGGGCTCAAGAGCATCCTGACTCCTGGAGCCCAGGAGGTTTGTTTGTGCAGCGGGGGGCTGCTTTCACTCTCTCGTTTATCTTCCTTTGCTATTGTTTGCATTATTTTTGAACAAGGAAATGTTATGTTTGTAATTTAAAAGAAAGCATAAATTGAAATAAAGATACAGTGATCCAAGAGACAGAAGTATACAAACATATGAAGCATCAGACGTACTGTAAAAAGAATCCTTCTTTGGCAATCAAACTTGGTTTCCCACCAGTGCAATCTGAGAAAAAATCAGTGTAGTAATATATATGTACTGTTAATGTCTCAAATTAAAATAACAGCTGCTTCCCTGGAGTTTTTCTTAAGTGTCAGGGTTTCTCAAGGAAGAAAAAAAAAGATTAAAGTAGGAAGGTTCCTTGAGGCAAACCAAATACCTGTCACTTGAACAAGTTAACAGGATCAATTAAGGAGGTGAAAATGGGCATTGTGCGCCATGAGAGCAGAACTCTCAAATCTCTAGAAGCTAGCTCCTGGGTTTAAAGAGCCTGAAAATGAAGCCATTTGATTTGTGTAGCAAGTTTTTATAGATTTCCAAGTAGAACTCAGTTCGATGCTGAATTAATTTGACTTTCCCACTAATGTGGTAGGTGATGGTTGCTGAAGCTTTGGACATTTCCAGAGAAACCTACTTGGCAATTCTGATGGACCGGGCCTCCAATGGCCCCGTACTGGTGGGCAGCCCCCAAGGGGGCGTTGACATTGAAGAGGTAGCAGCTACAAATCCAGAACTTATTTTTAAGGTATGTTTAGATTCATGGCTGTACTTTGTTCACTGATTGTTGTTGTACAAGCTGTTAAAGATTTAATGTGGGGTCTGAGACTGGTAGCAATACATGTGTTTTTGGGATTTAAGGCAGAAAATGTGCAGTCTTTTCTCTTCCTGGGCATCCAGTTGAAAGCTGGGTAGAATCAAGGTATTCACTATTCGAGGTCTTTTTCTCTTCCCCTCCCTTCCTTCTTTGCTCCTTCCTGCCTTTTCCTCCTTCCTCATTCCTTTCTATCCTACCAGCCCCTAGTAGTAAGCAATGGGACAGGATTGTGATATTTCCATTTCCTCTTGGTTAACTCTGCCCCATTTAACAGTGTGTCTAATCCAGCAATGCTCTCCTAGGAGACCAGATGTGAACGAGAGACTACCTGGATGTCTCTCTATAGTATTGATGTAAAATAGAATCCTTCTAAGGTCCACCTTCTCTCTGGTTGCTTCAATCCTTTAAATCTTGTCCTTTAATTGATATTAGGATTAGTTTCTAGTCAAAGAGGTCAGAGGTCATCTTAACTCGCCAGCAAGTTTCTCAATGCCTTTAAGCTTCATTTTTTGAATCAGTGAAATGAAAAGGGGGTAATATCCACCCTGCAGAATTGTGAGGATTAAATGAGGAGATGTGGATAAAGTGCTTCTCAACCTTCCTCGGCTATAAGAAGAAAAAGCCAAGGTTGTTAGAACTTTAAGTCCAGTTTTTGATTCTGGATTCTTAGTGTCAAAAAAGTCACATTAAAAATTTCTGGCAGAAATATTCATGATTTCTTTTAGAAAGTGATTCAAAAAGTGGGAATTTTATTTCTTGAACCGCTTTGTTTGGATAAGGTACTGGCGCTTTGTTGATTAGTTTTAAAATATTTTCACTAATGTTACATGTTTCAGTTAACTGCCTTGGAAGTTAAATTGAGACTTTACATGCTGGCTTACCAATAATACCTAGCCATTTGCAAAATTAACTTGATTTAAAACAAGCTATTCCACTTGTGAAGAGAATATATGAAATAAAGTGTATGAACAGCACTCAGGAGTTGGGGAGAATGGCACTTTGTAGAGATAAGGTATTATTAATAATTATATCAATAGAGTGTTTAAATCATAAGGTGATATTTAACCTATGTATGACAAGCTCTAAACTTAACAGCAATATTAGGCAGGAAAACCTTACTTTGGAAACCTTCCAAAAGATGTCATAAAAATTAACTGACTAAATATTCGTCAGTGCCATCTGTATAGTAATTAAAAGTGAAACCTGGCATCTGATTGTCTTGTCAGCATGCCACCGTGAAGAATTATATAGTTTTTGGAAAGGCTGTTTTATAGATGGTCTGCTAATTAAAACATACCCTATAGGCAGCTGCGGTATGCCGTGCTCAGAGATCTCTGGAAAGGTGCCACGCTTTAATTACTCATTTGCAAATAAATACTAAGCATTTTCTTTTGAGGTTGTAAATCTTCACATTTGACTGTCTGAATTTTGCTTATTTGATTCATTTTTACTAGGAGCAAATTGACATTATTGAAGGAATAAAGGACAGCCAAGCTCAGCGGATGGCAGAAAATCTAGGCTTCCTTGGGCCTTTGAAAAACCAGGTACCTGAGTGATTGGAGACCATTGTGTCTGACCTGTTTCAGAAATCATTTGGAAACCTGCTTAATTGCCTCTAATGTTTGTGATTAACAGGAAACAGGATTATTTATTGTTTTGTATCTTTTTCCTCCAGCTGTGTATGATGAAGGAAAATTTTTTCCTGGTGTTCCAAAAGCGGATGTTTATGACATGTGTTTATGTATATATATATGTGTATATATATATCAATGTTTGTGAAAGTGTGTGTCACACATAGACAAATGCATTTTGTTATGTATGTTAGTCTCCTTATTTTCTTCTGTGGCATTGCAGCTCCAGCCCATGAATTATAAGAGGCAGCACTGTGATTAGGAGCACGGGCTGTAGAGTCAGGCGGACCTGAGTTTGAATCCTGTACTGTTACCCAGCACATGTGTGACTCAGCACATCTGAACATCAGTTTCATCATCTGTAAAATGGGGATGATGAAATCCTAACTGAGAGGGTTATTGTGAGGAGTGAGTACGCTAATGTATGAAAGTGCTTATTCAGTATTCTGGAAAGGTCAGTTATTATTGTTATTAATAATACACATTACTTACCTAATTCCTATTCTTTCATAGCTAATGAGCATTTGAGATGAATATTAATTAATAACATTAAGGTGATATTTTACTGAAAACAGCTTAAAATATGCCAAATTAGTAATTATATCCCTTGACTTCAAAGATAGAAAAATTATCCTCCAAGCTATTAAGGGAGAGTGTCTGTCTTGAGCATCACAGTGCTGCACTGTCCTCGGTCCGGCCCATGGAGCTTGATTGTATGTCTGTATAGGCAGGCTTCCTTGTCCCACAGCTAAATCAGAACTTGCTGGCTGTTTTTTTCTTCCTCCATTACTAAGAGAAGCCACCTTAATAATCGTACATCCTGTGTGTGTGCATGTGTGTGTGTTCCCCTAAGGCTCCAGGATGGTACAGAGTATTTCCTTTACTTTAGTTAGGTAGCATTCCTCCAATAAAACAGGAGATTTTGAACTCCTTTCTTTCTGCCTTTACTTATTTTTTTGACTGATTCTATCTCTGGAAGTTTAAGGCTAACAATAAGGAAGTCATAGAAGAGTAAAGCAGAATAAGAATTTTAAAAATATATATCTGTTTGAATTAAGAGAGGATGCACTTATTTGAAGATAGAAGGAAAAGCTCCCTTAAAAATCTAAAGATTCAGGAGATTAGAGGGGTCAGGGTCATCTGGGACTGACCCTCAGTAGGAGATAGAAAGAGGCAGGATTCTTGAACAGTTAGAGGAACTCATTGTCCTTTCTGAGACTGGCATAGAGATGCCAGGGTAGTGGTCTGTGAAAGGAAGACACAGATGATTCCTGAGTAAGGGCTGGTTACCCCTGGTTGGTTACCCCTCCTGAGAATGAGGCCACTAACTATATTAGCTATCCATTTGACATTTATTAAAGGGCTTCTTGTGTAGCAGTGGTGGTCACCAACAGCCACTCTCCCACATTGTCACTGTGTTCTAGCTACACTGTTGTACAGTTAGCTCCAGAACATGCTCAGTAACCCCGTTTACGTCCTCCCTATCCCTTTGCACATCTGTATCCTCTTAGTCATTTGTGGTCACCTTTGTTGGATCCTCGTCTGCAGCATAGCAGGGCCTTTGTCCATCTTCCTCACTGCTGTGTTGCCAGCAAAGTGCTTGGCAGATATGTCGGGTACCCAAGAAACATCTGTCACATGCGTGAATAAGTGGAACAACACAGCTGGGGTGTCCACTTTGAAGAGATTCCTAGGGAGTCAGCAATAGGTAGCTGTGAGCAGCAGGAGAATAAACTGGATTGGGAAAAATCTACTGACCACATGGTTTGAAAGCTCAGGAGGTGCATATGACAGAGAGTTCTAGAGAAGGCAATCATAGTATTACATGCATCATAAGACAGTTTCCTCCCCACCACATATTATAAGAGAGAATTGAGTTATTTATAGCTGTTGAATGGCTGAATCATGTTTTCCCAGAGCCCTAAACACTCTAGGTTTTAAATGAGTTACCTGTGGAAGAAAGATGAATGTGTAGATCCTCAGGGATCACTAGTAGCAATAGTGTCATTCTATTTTTAATTTAATGTATTGAGAAAGGAAAGAAACTTTTAAATTTATTTTTGTCATTCTTTCATTGCTGACTACTGAAAGGCTTTCACTCTTCGTTTGCTCAGCAGTGTTGGAGTGAGCACTGACTGGGTGCTGCTCACTCTGCTGGATCCTGGGGCGGAGAGACAATGAGTGGTAGCCATTGTTCTTCAGGGATTCCCAGAGCAGTGGAGGCAGCCTCCTGGCAGTGAAGAGAGGAAGAGGGAATGCAAAGGACAGCGTGGGGAGAGGGGGCGAGCTCAGGTGTAGGCGTGTTGGAATTTGTTCATCTAGGGACTCCGGTTATCTTTGTGCAGTAGAAAGTGGAATATATGGCACAGGAGCTCAGGAAAAACTGCACTGGAGTTGTAGATTTGGGCGTCTCTGCTTTATGATGCTTCCTCAAGCCATGGGGATTGGTGAAATGTTCCAGAAAGCCAATGGAGGTGGCACCTGAGAAGAGAAAACATTTAAGTGATCATGAAGATTATCAATTGCTGATGCTTTGATAAAGAAATGGTATCTTAGGGGTCCCTTAGAGTCAATGTGACTCTGAAAAGTTACTTAATTTTCATCTAGGGTATGGTTTAGGCATTTGGAGGTAATTCACTCATGGATGAACAACATATAAAATGATTATTTTGCAAATTTATTAAGATCATTCCTCTGACTCATGCCTGTTATCTCTAAAATGTGATGTATTAATATTAGATTTAACAAAAATAAATATCACCTTGCGTAAAACCTGTCAGGTAGGTGTCCCTGATGAAAATCCATTTTAGCAAGAATTGGTTGAAAAGACTAAAGCCACGGGGATACTGAATATGGCTAAAAATTCACAAGCTTCTCTAGTGTGTCTGAATTATTGTCTATACTATTGATTTCTGAAAACATAGGCAGCATTTATTGTCAACATGTACCTCTGGGATTTAAGCTGATGAAAAGATCTGATGGGCCAAGTTAATACGGGCTCACTAACACTTCTGGGAGTGCTGCGGACCTCTGGCTGGCTTTAAGAACCAATTATGAATGTTGATGATATTAGTTCCTGGAACTAATGAAGAAAAGTATTTCAGAATTGTTTAACCTGTTAAAACATTTTTGAAAATATTTGTAAATTTATCAGGGTTTCTTGCATATGGCCCCAGGGGTTTTTTATTTTAGGCATTTTAACTTTTTCTTTTTTAATTTTTATTTTTTTCAGAGGTACATCATATTTCGAATTCTGTATACATTACATCATGTTCACCACCTGAACACTAATTATAGTGCATCCACTCACATGTGACCCTAATCACCCCTTTTGCCCTCCCCCCATTCCCCAATGGTAACCACCAGTCCAATCACCAATGCTATGTGTTTTCTTTTTTTTGGTCATTTTTATCTTCTACTTATGAGTGAGATCATATGGTATTTGACTTTCTCCCTCTGACTTATTTCACTCAGCATAATACCCTCAAGGTCCATCCATGTTGTCACAAATGCCTGGATTTCGTCATTTCTTATGGCTGAGTAGTAGTCCATCGTGTATAAATACCACATCTTCTTTATCCATTCGTCCCTTGATGGGCACCTAGGTTGCTTCCACGTCTTGGCTATTGTGTATAATGCCACAATGAACATAGGGGTGCAAGTATCTTTGTGCCTTTGTGTTTTCAAGTTCTTTGGATCAATACCCAGCAGTGAAATAGCTGGATCATATGGTAGATCTATCCTTAATTTTCTGAGGATACTCCAAACTGCTTTCCATAGTGCCTGCACCAGTTAATTGCTTAACAAATAACCTTAAAATAACATTAATTGGTGGGTTTAACAGATAACCTTAAAATAACATTAACTGGTGGCAAAAGGAAAGAAAACAAATTTTCTATATAGCGTGATTTCGACTTGAGGAAGTAGCTGTCAGTAGCAAACTGGCTGAGTGCAAGTTAACCAGCAGAATATTTTCTTTGACTTGTGTTTAATTTATTTTTAAAATGTGAGCCCATTTAGAAAGCAGGGGAGCTAACTTCAACTTGCCACAGGCCCTGCCATTTCCTATTATTGCACCTGATCAGATGGACACATTTTGCCTGCCTAGCCTTTATAGTCATTTAATATATAGCCCCTGGAATAGGCACGTTCTGTCTCTAAGCCAGGCTGGTTCTCCCTTGTAGCTCTTACATCCCAGGGTTTATAACACATATCCCTCATAGATCTTATAACACACATCTACCCATACTTCAACCCTACTCAAAAAATGTTTATAGTCCATCTTTGTACAATAATTAAAAATTAGAATAGTGAAGACCTCCAAAATGCTGTGTTAATGTAGAACTACAATGGCATTAACATGCAGAAAATTCAGGCTTCACAGTAAGCTAGGTTGATAGAGGCTTAAGAAGTTTTGAAGTGTCGCAAGTGTCCACTGATGGATAGATAAACAAAATGTAGTATATACATATAAGAAGGTTGTTAAGTCTTGAAAAGGAGGGAGATTCTGACATGTGCTGCAGCATGAATGAGCTTTGAGGATGTTATGCTAAGTGAAATTAGCAAGTCATAAAAAGACGCATACTACGTGATTCCATTTATATGAGGTGTCTAGAGTAGTCACCTTCACAGAGACAGAAAGTAGAAGGATGTTACCAGGGGCTGAGAGAGGAGGGAATGAAGAGTTGGCTTAATAGATACAGAGTTTCAAGATGAAAAAGTTCTCGAGATCCATTGCACAACAATGTGAATATATTCGAAACTGCTGAACTGTATGCTTAAAAATGGTTGAGATGGTGAATTTTATGTTATATGTATTTTACTATGATTCAAAAAAAAAAGAAATTTTTATGTGGCTGGGATAAGATCTTATGTATGCACCCGGAAGTTATTTCTATTATGTAATCTTTCCTTATTAAATTCATCATGAATTCAGCCAGTAGTTATTGAGCATTGACTCTGTGCAGAGGCTGTAGAAGCAGGGTGATGCCATGGTGTCCAGGATAGCCAGCGTGCCTTCTACATACAGCTCGCATTGCAAGCTCATATGAAGGACCTAGGAAACCTCTGAAAATATAAAATTTATTCAACAGTGAGTTATTTATCAGCATTGGACTTTAACTCAAATAAATTTTGTTTGCATAGAAGAAGAAAGAGTAAACATTAAATAAAAGAAATCTTAAAGAGTACTTGAAAAAATAATGGGAGAATTTTTTTTTTAATGCTCTCAGAGTAGGACCAGCCTTTTTGAAATCTGACACAAAGCCAGAAGCTATAACACAAAAGAGTGGCATTATTGTTATCCAGTTTCCATGGGGCAAAAGTAACAAAAACATGGTCGAAAGAGAGAAAAATGCTTGCAATTTATGTGAGATAAAGAGCTAAATTCCTTTTGTAAAAACATCTGTAGGGGCTGTGACCCAGTGGTTAAGTTCGTGCGCTCCGCTTCAGTGGCCCAGGGTTTTGCTGGTTTGGATCCTGGGCACGGACATAGCACCGCTCATTGGGCCATGTTGAGGCGGCATCCCACATGCCACAACTAGAAGGACCCACAACTAGAAAATATACGACTATGTGCTGGGGGGATTTGGGGAGAAAAAGCAGAAAAAAAAAGGAAGATTGGTAACAGTTGTTAGCTCAGGTGCCAATCTTTAAAAAAAAAAAACTCATAAATTAATAAGAAAAAGACCAAAATCTCAACAGAAAAATGGGCAAAATTCATAAAAAAGGAGATACAAACGTCTCAAGCTCATAGACGAATGCTCAAACTCATTCATTGTAAGAGTGATTCAAATTAAAGCTATATATGAGATACCCATTTTCACCGAACACCCTGTGAAAAATCCAGATGGCTGATGGTTGTGAGTAGCAAAACAATCTCTATGATACTGGTTTCTGAGAGGGGAAATTAGGGACAACTTCTACTAAGAACAATTGAACAGAATCTTCTGTTATTTAAAATGCCCACACCTCTCTTTGCTCTACTCCATGGAATGTATCCTACAAATATTTAATCACATGTATGATGTATATACAGAGATAGGTAAGGCAGCAAGTTAAGTAATATCAAACTGTTGGAAACTAAATAGCCATTATTTAATAGACAGGTTAAATATGATACATCTATACAATAAAATATTATGCATTCATTTAAAAGAATATTATCACTCAATTTGTGTTGCCAATGACGGGTCTCTCAAAATCTGTTAAGTATAGAAACAGGGTGTAGAACCAAGTCTGGTTTTTTAAAAAAGGTGAATGAAGAATATGCAGACATGCATGTGTACAGACCCTCTCTCAATGAACCACCAACTGGTAAGGTGGCTGCAGGTGGGGAACTGGGGAGCTGCATGGCTGGGGAGTCTAGATAGTGAAGGTTCTGAGGAGACCCATGTGTACCTTGGGAACTTTGTGTCATGTACATGTATTATCTAACCAGAAAAAGAAAAATTGTATTAAACAATATTCAGTCTTACTCATTATGTATATTTGTTTATGTCCACTGAGTTTTGAATTAGGATTTAAGGAAGTTTACCAATATACATAAAATAAATTAAGATGATATGAATTACATCTCTACGAGTTCTTCAGTCAATTCTGGAGCAAGGAAACCACTCTCAGTACTGACCACAGTGGGACTTTATTCTAGAGAGTTGGTTATATAGGTGCTGCCAGAGCTGAGGAGTTTCATAGTGGACAGAGAGACAATCTAGAACTAAACAGCAACAGGATACTGTTGCCACCTGCATGCTTGAGGAACAAAATGAGGCAGTGGTTTTGTTGGACCTTGGGATACAGAAGCTAGAACCCTGGTGAGCCTCTGTGGTGGGAGCTAGAGCCAGACGAGGAGATGCTGCCCAAGGCAGAAAGAAAAAGATAGAAATACCCTGGCTTTTCCCTGCCTCCCTCCTCCTGTCTCCCACTGCTGCTTCCCATTGGCTGAACCGAGCTAGAAACCAACTGGCCCAGGAGCCTTGGAAACTCAGCCTACAAGCATCAGCTCCCCTGATATACAGAGCAAAGATGGGGAAAAGCCGGAAACAGATCTGAGGACAAGTAATGCAGGGCTGGAGCAATGAGCAAAAATGTGGCAAAGGGAAAACCTTGGCTGGGAAAGGAGATGGAGCTGGAATGAGACTGATACCCACCATTCAGCCATGATCACACAGTCTTGCTATGTTGCATCACAAGCTGTGTTCACTGTAGGTGTGAGCTGTCCTAGGTGGTGTCATGCCTCATTCATGATGTCTTCCCCTAGCCCCAGCTCACACAATGTCAGCATGCTGTGACATAGGCAATTAATAAATGTTGGTTGAAAAGAATGAATGAGTGAGTGAATTTCAAGCAGAGTGAGAATACTGAAGTTGGGGCGTAACATCAGGGAAACTGGATATTCTTGCTTTGTGGTGTATGCCCTTTGGACAAACTGTTTTCAATTTGAACTGTGCTGTTCAGTAACTGTACTGTTCAGGACTTTCATCTTCCTGTCTTGCAACAATTTCCATTAGACACTCAGTAATTGTTTCACAGATTATAGGTTTGGATTGATGAATATAATAACTGTTTTATTCTAGCATAATAAGGAAAACCTAGTCATTATAAACTCTCAAAATCGTATTTACCTTTTACTTAAATGGAGCTTGTTTGTATTAATGATTGTAGCTCATATTGTGGCGTAGCTCAGCTAATAGGGACATGATAATTTACAAAAAGATTAACAGTGTTTTTAGGCTGTACTGAAAATATTTTGCTTTACTGATAATGGTCTTTTCTAGTGTCTAGAGGAAAGTTGAGCAATTCCTTCTAATGAATAGCAGTGGAAATTAAAATAATTATGCTTTTCTGTTTTTCCCTTCAGAAAACTTAACTGAAAATAAAGACATAACTTGCTATTTTTAAGGTTTCATTAATCCAGCAAAATAAATGTTCTTTTACTGCTTTCATGTAACTTCATTTCACTTGATCACATTTAGGCTGCAGATCAAATTAAGAAGCTGTATAATCTCTTCCTGAAAATTGATGCTACTCAGGTGGAAGTGAATCCCTTTGGTGAAACTCCAGAAGGACAAGGTAAAAAAAAAAGAGAGAGAGAAAACAAATGAATATAGTTATTTATGCAAACTATAAATTAAATTGTACAAAAGACTGTAGCAACAGCTCTGCATTAATTTCTTTCAGTAATTTAATTTCTGCCATAGTTTCAAATGCTCCCGTGATACCGTTGAACATTTCAGCACTTGAGTTTGCAGCCAAATGCCAAGCCTCAGAGGAAGCTACTTCTAGGTTTATTTAGGATCATGCATCTACCAGCACTGCCTCATTTTTGGAGGCCCATTGCTCTGTTACTATGGTGAAGATTTGGGTGGAAACAGGAGCCACTGGACTTGGGTGTAATGAATGTACCGGCTTTTATGGAATTGGAACTCGAAGTTTTTTAGTTTACCTAAATCTGTATAAATTCACCTTGTATTCCCTGCTGGATTTACATCCTCATGGTGAAGCCCCCAGTGCCCCATTGTCCAGTTCTCACTTGACTTGGTTACCAACTTCCACTTCCGGTAGGAGGAGGAGACCTTTTTGTGGGGAAGGTTTTTCCTATCCGTCAGGTACTTATACAGTGTAAACAACTGTTTTATACGTCAGCACCCACCACCATTGCACTGTGTCTTGCATACATCAAGTATTTAGTAAGGTCTTATTAATGCGATAGCAAAAGCTTGTGCGTGTGTGTATGTTTTGGGGGATGGGATATCAGGTGGAACCTTGTTTGTTTAGTACATTTGGCCCCCAGTGTCTTGCATGCTTCCTAGTGTGTTGTGGGCAGTCAATGAATAAGGATTTGTCATTGGATAGGTAAATGAGGTGATCTATTATGCGCAAAAACAACCAAGCTGTAGACCAAGATGGATGGTACACTGTTTTACAGAGGGGCCTGGGTTCAAATTCTGGATCTGCTATGTTCTGACCACAGACCTGGGTTAAGCCTCAGGGTTTGTTTTTTGTTTTTATTTCTTTAATCCAAAAGAGTGGTAAAAATGATAACTATCTCATAGGGTGGCTGTCAAAATGAGGTGATTGGTGTTTGTGTAAGCATCCACTGTCAGACACAAAATAGGCCAGTCCCTGACATTCATAAAATGTAGTTCTTCATCTCAGATAGGACAAAGAGTAGTCCAGGAAAGGTATAGATTTCATGTTTGTTTATTTTTTTCCTTTTTTTGTTGTTTTTTTAAGGATTTTACATTAGGACAGGCAAAGAGCTCATATTTAGGAAGCCATTTAAAATAATATATTTCATGGTTTACACAGTGACCACCAGATAAAAACCTATCATAGGTCATTTATAAGCAAGCTACCTTTATTCATAAATATTTTAAAAATTCTGTTTGAGGGGACTGACCCCTGGCCAAGTGGTTAAGTGTGCACACTCCACTTCAGTGGCCCAGGGTTTTGCTGGTTTGAATCCTGAGCACGGACATGGCACCACTCATCCAGCCATGCTCAGGCGGCGTCCCACATAGCACAACCAGAAAGACCTACAACTAGAATATGCAACTATGTGCTGGGGGGCTTTGGGGAGAAAAAGAGGGAAAAAAAGTAGATTGGCAACAGATGTTAGCTCAGGTGCCAATCTTAAAAAAAAGAAAATTCTATTTGGTTGTAAAATCATCAGTACTTCATAGAGAGAGGAAATGAAGGGGCAGATAACTGTTTTTGGAACTCATACGCCAGGCGCTGTGATAACCTTTTACATACAGTCGGCCCCCATATTTGTGGGTTCTGCATCCACAGCTGGGAATCAGAAGGCCTATGATGGTTGTGTCTGTACTGAAGATATAGACTTTTTTTTTCCTTGTCATTATTCCCTAAATAATACAGTATAACGTTTGCATGGCACTTATATTGTATTAGGTATTATAAGTAATCTAGAGGTGATTTAAAAGTATAGGGGAGGATGTGCATACGTTATATTGCAAATTTTATATAAGGGTCTTGAGCATCCGTGGATTTGGGTATCCATGGGGGTCCTGGAACCAATCTGCTGTGGATACCAAGGGATGACTGTATATTCATTTTTATTATTTTTGTTACTTACAGCCCTCTGCAAAATTAGGAGTTGTTATCCCCATTTTATAGTGGATCGAAAAATTAATGTGACTCCCCCGGGGGCAGCTAGTTACTAGAGCTGGGGTTTGAACTCATGTCTCTCTCAGTTCAGTGTGTATGTTGATTCTGTTATGCCAGACTGCCATAGTAACTTGCCTTCCTCTCTTTTTTTGTCCCTCTTAAACGATTGATTTGCTTTCATCAGAATGATCTAGAAGTAGTCTCCAGTCTGAGAATCTTGTTTGAGTCTCCAGTCAAAATTAAGTCCAAGAAATGAAAGAAAAGCAAGTTCAATATAAGTTCTTAAAGGTCATATATTTCTTTTCAAACTAGAATGCACAAGGACCCTGGTTATTTCATATTCATAAAAAAAAAGGAAATTTCAGCCATGGAGTGTGATGAAACTCAGGCTGTAGCACTCTTTTCATTCAACCCTTGGGGAAGTTGTCCATCAGATTGTGGTCTGGCAGCAGGGAACAGGAGTGCGAGAACCTTGTCCTAGAGGGTATCTGTAAAACCTCACGAAATCTGAAGTTTTCTTTGTAATTATTAAGAGAAAGGAAAATTGTTCAGCTTTTTGGAAAGAATCATCATAAAATACATGCCATGTATACAGTTCATTAAAACATAAGTCTTATGTGATATTTTTAAGAGCAAAATTATCTTTAGCTATTAATTTGTTCATTGTACCATAAAAATTCAGCTATTGAATTATAATCACAATTAAATGAGTGTGTTGGTTTATAACTCTAATGAACAGTAGTTAAATTAAACCCAATTAGGAAACGGTGATTAATGACCAAATGTACAAATTGATCTTCATCATTGTCACAATCCCCTAAAGCAATCCTTTATGTTGGAGCTGTAAAACCAGTCATTTATATCTTAGCGGTATTGATAATCTTAATATTTATAATCTGAATATTTAAATTTTTCCATTTAGATCAGTAATAGCAGAACATGTAACCTTTCACATTAAATTTTTATTTAATAATTACTTTTAATTAAGAACTTTAAAGAGCATGGCATCATGCCAAACATTTTTACTTTAAACTTATTCGTTGCAGAGGGTCTTTGTGAGAGAATTTCCTCTGTCTTTCATTGTTTGATGAGGAACATTTAAAAAGATTTAAGGTAGGGCTGGCCCAGTGGCGCAGCAGTTAAGTACGCACGTTCTGCTTTGGCGGCCCGGGGTTTGCCAGTTCGGATCCCGGGTGCAGACATGGCACCACTTGTCAAGCCATGCTGTGGTACGCATCCCACGTATAAAGCAGAGGAAGATGGGCATGGATGTTAGCTCAGGGGCAGTCTTCCTCAGCAAAAAGAGGAGGATTGGCAGCAGATGTTAGCTCAGGGCTAATCTTCCTCAAAGTGGTGATATATTTGTACAACAGATGATATCTGGTTGAATGAAGAGTAATGGCCTTGATAACATCTATGCATGGGGAGTTTTTGGTGTGGAGAAAGAAGTACAGTCCAAGAACTATTTTTGCCAATATGATTAATAATCTGATTCAAAGAATATGATTTGGCACTACTGTCTGTGATGTGGTTTAGTGGCTATTAGGATTATAATGGTTGTTAGTGACAGAAACATATACCAGCCTTGTTTTTGTTAACCCCCTCCCCCCGGAGGGGGGGTACTGACTTTACTCACATAACAGGGAAGTTTAAGGCGTGAAGGGAATCAGGAATTCTCTGGTCTTCCAGCTCTGCTTGCCTCTGACTCAGCTTCTTTGTCAGCTGGGCTCTCTGGAGCTGTCGGCAAAGATGGCTCCCAGTTCTCGTCACTTTCCTCCAGCAACCATAGCAATCTTTTCAAATGATTCTGAGTGGTCCTGCTTGGGTCACATGTCCATGTCTAGATCAGTCGCTGATGTGGAACCACATGGTGTAGGAGAAAGGCAGTTTCTCAAAGGAAAAAGGGATATTGAGTCAAAACAAGACTACCGGAATGACCTAACTTATAGTGAAATGGAGTCAAAGTCAAAGACAAATTAGCTCTTTTCTTTGCTTGTCCAATTGCAGTCCTGGAATTCACTCATGAAACCTGTGGCCAAGTTAGAAGAAAGGTTTTCTTTATCTACCTATCCATTTATTCATTTGTTTTGCAAGCCATGGTGAGATTTTATGTCCTATTTTATTTTTTCCCACTTTCAACCAGATCTGCTTGCACACAGATTCGTTTCTTTGGTGTCTTTAAAACAATATTTCTCAGGAGAGTGGACATTTTTTCTCCCAAGGTGACATTTGACAGTGTCTAGAGACATTTTTTTAATTGAGATAAAATTGACATGTAACACATTAGTTTGCTGTATACTACATAATGATTGGATATATGTATTTATGGCTAAATGATCACCACAGTGAGTCTAGTTCATATCTATTTTTGCTTGTTACAACTTGGGGTGCAGAATGCTACTGGCTTCTAGTGGGTGGAGGCCAAGGATGCCACTAAACATCTTATAATGTACAGCACAGCCCCCCACAACAGAGAATGATCTTGCACAAACATGTCAGTAACCCTGAGATTAAGAATTCCTGTTCTAAGGCGTCTTTGTCAGTTGGAGCCCAAATCCATTCACTGAGCTAAAGGAGTGAAACCCAATTTAAATCAGTGACTATCTGGCCAAGATTCGATGAGAATTAAGGCTGGATGATCCAAAGTTAACTGGCACATCAAATTCCTTTCTTGCTTCAGATTAATTTCCCTAAATAACTACCCTGTTGCTTCGTGTTAGCAAGTGCCCATGTTGTTGGTGGGTGTTTCTCTCTGCTTCTCTCTTTAAACACAAGACTCTATTTTCAAGAACATTTTCATTTCTCTGCCTCCCTCTAAACCCTCCTCCCTCCTCGTATCTATTTTCTCTTTTCACAGCAACTAAAGAAAAGTTCTAAAAAGTATACGACTCTTGGAACATCAATATTTAATGGGAAGTGGGACTAATTTGAAAGTATCAGCATTTAAAGGCCATCTTGGTAAGGCGGGTTTCAATAGTGCATTATGTTTATTTATCACAAATCAAATGCAATACGTTGCTTGAAGACAGATTATTTTTCAAACTAATCATGACAATTTTATTTCCTGCTGTTTCTGTGTTTCTTTTATGTGTGAGTCTCCCCTCTGAAATGTATTTTTCTTTTGTTTAATTCAGTGACACATTCTTCTGTTAAAACTCGAGGGTCAGAGGCCCAGTCATGTTCTTCATAGAGGTTGTTAGTGGCTCACAGATCTCACACCACTCAACAAAACAACAAAAACACTCTATGAATATAAGTACTGCAGCCTTCTTTGATATTTGTTCAGAAGGGAAATTCATTTGTACAATCTATCAAGCATGTAACAATTTGCTTTTGATGGTGAAAATTGTTTTATAAATATTAAAAGGTGTGTTTTTTCACCCACTTTGTACACAGAACGGCCTTTGTTCGAGATGAATTTTCTATAGAACTGAGGTTTCATTAATGTGACATTGAAACTCTTAATGTCTGAACCGAGCTCAGCACCTCCAAAGTTGTATTTTACCATAGTTTGTTGTTTTATTAAATGAAAAAGCCTAAGTTTGAGCAAGTGAGTTTAATTTATTCCTCTGCTGGTGACATAGAAGTGTAGTTGAAGGGGTCTTCAGGGGGAAATGAGCATAGAAAAGTCAATCAATAATCCGGGATTAAGCTCTTCCTTTTCTGCAGGTTGCAAGCTTTTGTGTATTCTCTTAGCATTTTTTGTTTTCATGATTGTAGGATGCACTTTTCTAAGTTTCTCCTTCATTGTAACAAATACACCTGTGGCTATTATATCACTTGTTAAAGCAGGATACAAATGTAATGAGAACAGTGACTGGGCAGGGATTGGCAACCTTTTTCTGTAAAGGGGCAGTTAGAAAATATTTGGCGGTTTGTGGACCATGTGGTTTCTATTGCAGCTACTCATCTCTGCTGTTGTCTAGAGACAGCAACCATAGAAATATGTAAATGAGTGTGTGTAGCCACATCTAGTAAAAATATATTTACAAAAATAGGCAATGAGCTGGCCTGAGGGTCATACTTTGCCACCTCCTAACTTAGATTCTCATTTGGGGCTGTTTTATACCAATCTTTAGCCACCTTGGCTTTATGCAAAGATGTGGTGTGATCTGAGATTCACCAAAGGCATCTCTTTCACCCTCATCCTTTATGCAGAATTCTCCTTCTCCATTAATTACAAAGCCTGAAATGCCAACCTTTAAAATCTTTCCTGTGGGAAAATTCTTATGTATTCACAAGATGGCATTTGATTGAAAACCATAGATAACTAGTACATATGTAAACTCTAATACACATTAGTTTAGCTTTACTCTAAACAGACGTCTGAGATTACAAGCGAATGGGACAAAGTACAGGTCATTTTTAGTGGCAGGAGGAGAGGAGAATCCTATAGCCTGGGCTGCAGCACTGGGAACCTGTAAGAAGCACTGTGCATGTAGAGGATGGCAGTGGTAATAGAATAACCTGTGAGTGCCAGCTGTTTGTGAGGCCAAGTGCTTTGCATATAGTCTCTCCTTCCACCAGCGCCATGCAGTAGAAAACACTATGATCCCCATTTTACAGACAAGGCCACTGGGCTTAAGAAAGGTTATGGCTCCCTGGCTAGGAAGTGCCAGAGCTGTAGTGTATACCAAGTATTTTTGATGTCAGAGTCTACATTAAGTGGTCAAGTTTAAGGAAGAAATTTTAGGTGATGCAACATTATAAACTGAGATAGTAAAGCAGGAAGATACTTTGTATGTTAGGGACTACTTTTAAAATATTGAGCAGTTATAACAAAGATGTGTCTAGGAGAGCCCACGTATCTCCTTAAAGTCATTTATTCGCCTCTCTTCCTTCCAAAATAACAAACGATTTAGGCTTTGAGGGTGGCAAGTCAGTTTTGGATCACCCTTCTTAACTCCTAAGACCCTTTACTTACTTCCTCTTTATGTAGTGTTTTTAACTTCCCAAAGCACTTGGACATAACATACATGGACCTAGTTAGGTTATTTGATTTACAGAGGGAGAAAATTAGCCAGGGCCCATTGTCAATACACCTTTTAGCCCACAAGAGTGATACCTGTAGATACACCTTTTGTCCTACCTGTAGATACCTCTTTTATCCCACCTGTAGATACCTCTTTTATCCCACAGTCACTACCTTCAGGCCTTGGTTTAACTCTAAAGTTCTGTCAAGGTAGTCACCAAAGAGTGGACTCACTTCTGTACTTGGCGTATGCATCATACCTCAGGAAAAAGCGGTTTTTGGAGATCTAGCTTTACAGGCATTTAGGTGGGACTGCTTTCTGAACTTTGCATACATATCCATTAATTATGCTCTCTTTCAAGTAGCTTATAACTGTAGTCTTTGTAAGGGTTGAAGATCAGCCTGGACTTATTTTGATTTACTAATTTATTGATCTTGACCAAGAATCACTTTATTTGAAACTCTTCATTTAGGAAGTCAATTTGATCGCCTTTGCCCGTTCATTTTGAAGGCCTCAGTTAAAGTAGTCTTGCCAATGAGTAATGGAGGAGCTAAAATTACTAATAAATTAATTAAAATGTATTTATAAACCCAGCGGAAAGCCAAGAATGAAGTTGCTTTCCTATCGATTATTATACAGGTCATTAGCTGCGGAGAAAATGCCATTGTAGCGAGCAGAGAACACTGGTCAGTAATTGTAGGATTCCATCATTAAGATTTCAGTATTCTGGAAAGTAATTACTCATTTGTTCCACGTATTCACAGTGTGTGGGTCGAGTGGTTGGATGTTTTGTGGCAAGACTAAGGATTCAGGCAGCCATTAACTTCATAGAAGATTCTCTCTTGTCAGTCAATGCTACTTTAAGTGATTTGTGGTTTGGGCTTCTATTTATGCTGAGTATTCTTAGATATTAATATGCCAATTCTGCACAGATTTGTATCAAAGTGCTTGACTATTGTGGTAGAGAGACCATTGGAAAAAACCCTCTACCCAGGGTCTGAACCCTAGGATGTTGTAATGTAACAATATTTTCTCTTCATAGGAAGCAAATGGGATTAACAGACTATGGGCATTGGTTGTGAGTGAAATATTCTGGGGTGGTGGTTTCCTTTCAAGAATTAGGTGCCTATGAGCAATGTTGGAGGAGAATGGGTAGTATCTCTAAATTCTTGGTCAAAAATCTCTACCTATCAATAACCCAAGTAAAGTAATAGAATATTATTATGAAATGTCATCATAGACAACTGATTTCTACCCTAAGTGATGTGATAAAAGGGAACAGATCTCAGAAACCAGCATACCACCTCTCCCCACTACAGTCTCTCCCTGATTCTGTACATGTCGAAGATCTGTACATATAGGAAAGTGCTCTGTGGTCCATCCCTATCACCAAGTGAGTTTCACTGTGTCCAGGACTCCTGGCCAATAGGAGAGTTGGAGATCTATACCAGCACCAGAGGGTGGACACAGCAGTGCTGATAATGCCTGGCAACCTTCCCTTGTAACTGACTAGTCTTGGTCTCTTAATGTCCTAAGATGGTCTGGCTCACGTCAGGTTGATGGTCTTAGTTTCAGCAGACCCCAAAGTAAGCATACCAGCAGTCTAGGGATTGTGGTTTCCATTTTCCAAATGAGAAACTGAGGCCCAGAAAGGAAGCAGATTATCTTTATCGAGGTTACAGAGTTAGTTAAGAGTTAAATAATTAAAAACCCTCTTGATTCTGGCCCAGTGTTCTTTCCACTAAATCTTTGAGAAATATTAGTGAGGACACTGATTAAATGAAAATTTCACTTTGTGATGTCAGAAGAAGGACAAAGGAAGACCACAGGAATAGCATTTTTGTCTAGTCTCTCTTTGCATAGAAGAAAAAGGTGATGATCAGGGGTTAAATACTGAAAATAAGAAATGTAATAAAAATGGCAAATCAAAGCTGTATGTAACTGTGGTGATCTGTAGCTTTTAATGAGTGGCAGCAACTTACTTGTTATTTTATTGAACAGAGCCAACAGAGATAAATTACTATGGTCTTATTAGTATGTAATTCCTTTGAGAACAGGGACCATGTCATATTTGTCTTTGTAGCCCTGAAGTTTAAATTAAGGTCAAGAAAGCCATAAAAGCTTCTCCTGCCTGTATCATGAGAAAAAGTGATAATATCTTACTTTTCTTTCTCCTGTGCCTGCCAGCCTGGAGAACTTAATTTATAGATCCTTAAGAGATATTCATGTATGTCCCTTTTTCCCTTTATTTAGTTGTCTGTTTTGATGCCAAGATAAACTTTGATGACAACGCAGAATTCCGACAAAAGGACATATTTGCTATGGACGACAAATCAGAGAATGAGCCCATTGAAAATGAAGCTGCCAGATATGATCTAAAATACATAGGACTGGATGGGAACATTGCCTGCTTTGGTAAGAAAGCAGTATATCAAAAGAATGATTTGTGGATTTTTGCAGAATTTAAGCACCCCTGATTTCTGAAATGTTATTTCCCAATAGCAAGTAAACATATGAGGTTATTTGTAGCCCAAAAGCTTTAGGAAACCATTCCAGTTTCTTCTCAAAGTTCCTTTTGGTCAATGGTCACTGGCTTAAAGCAGAGTTTCCCAACTCTGGCACTATTAACATTTGGAGTGGGATCATTCTTTGCTGAGGGGCCTAACCCTGTCTCATCGTAAGATATGTAGCAGTATCCCCAGCTTTGACATGCCACTAGCAGCTGCACTTGTGACAACCAAAAATGTCTCCAAACGTTGCCAGATGTCTTCTGTAGGCAGAATCAGCCCAGTTGAGAACCACTCTTTTAAAGCATCTCAGTTAAACTTTGCTTAGTAAAACTCGGAAGCTTTGCTACTCCAGTCAATGTTAATATGCCAGGAACTTTTCTGAACTTTGGGGTTAAGATAAAATTACTTTCTCAGAGGAAGTAGAAGAGAACATGTACTTTAATCATTATGTTCAAATTTCAGCTTCTGTTATAATCAAACGATAAAATGTTTCATCCATTAAGCCAGTTTGTTAATAAAACAATTGATTTCATCATACTCATCTAGATTTGTGAAAATGGCTTATTCAGCTGAGATAAGAATAGGTCTCTAGAGGCAATACAATTTCTGTTATTGTCCATAGCTTAGTGTACTGAGATTTGTACGCTTCTGTGTTTCTGGTGTAACCAATTTGTTGCATTGAAAACTGAGGTCTTAATCTTAATGGAATTAAAATAAAAAAGATTGGTAGCTCATTAAACCAACAGTATCGTTATATTCAGAACTGAACAGACCTCATCCAATAGTTTGCTCATCAATACAGTAGAAAATGGTATCCAATTACAAGTGATACCAAAAGCACTTGCTTTGTTTTAGAGCAGTAACCGTAATGTACCAGGTCACTCACATCATTTGATCATGATAAGTTAATGCGCTCTCAGTATTATAAGTATTTAGAAAGGAGAACTATATAATGATGTGTTTAGAACCAATTAAATACAGATTCATTGTAGCCTCTGTAGGAATGTGCATGATTTGACCAAATTAGTAGCCTCAAAAGCTCTGATTAACAAATTTCAAGTTGTTTTAAGATCCTATATAAACCATTTTTATTTTAGTTGCCCCAGACTTAATTAAATTGGTCACTGTTTATAGGCATGTCTGGGGAATCCAAGGGTCAGAAAAAGTGAAGGATACTTTACCTTGAGAGTTTTGCTGTGTTCAGAAGATTTTTTTTTTTTGCTTTCTAACCCCAGGAAGGTAATTTCATATAATTAAGTATAAAAAGCAAAAGAAGTGCAATTGATCAACTTAGCTCTGGAAAATACAAATTTTGATGATGAAAGTCTGCTTGGTTTCTTAAGAAAGGCACCTAAGATATTGTCACATTCTGGTTCTAGTTTTAATGATCAGGGTGCTAGTGAACATTTTTTATATTAATTTGAAAGAGGAATGGGGGGGATAGGAATATTGTTTGGAAGCTGTTATTTGTTCATTTGTTTTCTAGGTTTATCCAGAGAACATATAAATGTGCATGGTTGCACTAAGTATAAAAAAGTATGGAACCCTTTTGAAGTTGGTACCCCTGTGGTTCAACCCCAGAGGGATGCCACATTCAAAAGAACATATTCTCAGCAAGCAAAAAATCATTCTTTACTTGAGTCTCTTAAAGGATATTAAAAAGAATGTAATTTATAGGCCCTAGCAGCTTCTCATAGGATTTTTCTCTCTGTCCCAATTCTCTTGAACTCTGTTCTTTCCAGAACCTGAAACTCCCTCCTCTACCACTAGCCCAAATTGATTAGTTACTTAAACTCTTCCTTTCTTTCTGTTTCTCAGATGATTTAATTTCTCAAGAAATCCTTCTACCCATTCCCAGGTCTTTTTTGTTTGTTCTTTGTATGCACATTTCCTGATTCTTTATCCTAAAAAAAAAATCTATGAACTTATCTGATTGAATGGAATTCAAAATGGCAGAAATTGGCCTGATCGTGACAGAGTTCTTTTTTGGCAATATGGGGGAGGGAAAAAGTTCACACACCTTTTCCTGTTGCTAAATTGATCCTGTCTTGTGTGCCATTTGCATTTTACAGTGAATGGTGCTGGACTCGCCATGGCTACTTGTGATATCATTTTCCTGAATGGTGGGAAGCCAGCCAACTTCTTGGATCTTGGTGGCGGTGTAAAGGAATCTCAAGTGTATCAGGCATTCAAATTGCTGACTGCTGATCCTAAGGTAACCTCTTTCTTTGTAGGAAGATTGTGTAATGTTCCGATTTCTCACCATCAAGAGCTACCTTGTTCCTGCTACTAAGAGTTAATAAGCTAACGCATGTACTCTGCAGCCCCAAATGCAAATCTTGCCTTCTATCACGTGGGATTACACTATGATTTAACTCGTATTGGGAGAAGGGCCTATAAGTGCCCCCAGGATCTTATTTCGGAGGCTGTGCTTACAAAATTCTGGGAGATGAGAGGAAATAAGAAGGGTATAGTGCACCAAACAGTGAAACATTGGTTGGCATGAAACGTTAATTTGGGTAATTTACACTGAAGCAAGTAATCCTAAGCTTCCATGATTTAGAGAGGACACAGTCTCACTTTCCTTCTGTAAGGATGCTCAAAGTGTTATCATACGATTGGAGACGGAAGGAAATTATAGGATTATATTATTATATATCACTGGAAAATAATGACTCCCCTCCTTCTCTATGCCTTTTAAGTTACATATGTTACAGTTTATAACATATGCTCCCAGTGCATATAATGTTGCTTCATGTGCGTCTTTACTAGAATGCAGCTGTCATAGCCATGCTAGGTGCATAGTCAGTATTCACTAAATAGTTAATCAATTTAAATATCAGTATGCTGTTTCCCTATAGGTACTCAGTTGTCTATGATAATGAGGTTTAGGTGGACATTTGTTTTGTGGAAAAGACTAAAATTTTTTGAATGTCCGATATGTATCATCGAATTCTCTTAACAGTTCTGTGGGGTAGTGTATATGCCACAACCATTTGATTTTGAGCTTTATTTGAGAGTCATTATCTTGATATTATTAGAGTATCTAATATATTCTGTTGGTTCCTGACATGTATGAAGACATGGGAAATCTGAACCATCACTAAGAAAATCATGAATAAAAAAATACCAGGTATTTTTTTAAACAAATGAGGTCTGAACTTAGTATGGAAGCTTCCCATTAATAAGTTGGTATTAATAAGTTGGCTATTGGCAGTAGCCTTTATGGGATCACATGCATAAAATTTCGTCTTATATATTAGTAGTATGCTTGTCTGTTCTCATTATGACTTGATATTTGGTAATCGTCAGCTTTTGCTAACTCTTTTCCTTCTGATTCACAAAATAAATGGTAAGGTATAATCAGCTACTTCTCTTCAGTTCTCCAGTGCTGTTCAGGAATAGCAAAGTCATTGAAGTCCAAAGACAGCCAGCCATAAAGAAAGTTTTAGGGGTTGATTTTTCTGTTTACATAAGTATCTTGTTTTCATTGCTTAAGTAGGAATCTTATCAGTGGCTCCCTAATGATTTATTAATTCATTTATCTCTTCTTCCTATTATTTTCTAAGAGAAGAATCATTTTCCTCCCAGAGATTTTCAACCTAATTGAAATCTGTAAATAACATGGATATAAGACACAGCTCTTTAAACTGCTTGAACCACAAAGCACCCGAAGGACAGGCAACTGTAATAAAATACTGAACTTTTAGTGTCTGCTGAAATTCAGTGCTCAGAATAGTAGAGAGCCATGAAGGGATTAAATCTACCAGGACAATCATTGCATTTTTTTCGGAATATCTTTTCTTAGCGGCTGATCTTGAATTTTAATTTTACAAAAGTACAAGAGGGGAATGAAAAATCACTTGCAGAGCCTTTTTTTTTTTTTAAACAACCTCTTCAAAAATTTTGACTTTACCCTGTGGAATATTTTCAAATGCTTGGCGTATTTAAACTTTTTTTGAGATTGGCCGTCATCTTGGGTAGATAAAGGTGTGTGGGAGTAACTTTATTTTTCCCATGCTATATCAGGAAAATGAATGCATAGCTCATCTCACAGTACATTTTCCAAATCTTGAAATTTCCAAGCCAGTTAAAAAGCATAGAAATGTAATGGGTATTTTCAATCCTGGCATTGTTTCACAGATTTCAGAGAACAGAGGCTAAAACATAGTATAGATGAATTGATTTGATTTTGCAAGGAAACTGGTTGTAGTTCTGGCGGTAATTATTTGAAGCAGAGCCCCATCCAGCTGCCCAGAAGTAGATATTCCCAAGAGCCCAAAGCTAATTATTTCAAAGGTATTGATTTTCTTGTTAGATATAAGGATTAGTCAGTTGACTACACTGAAACTCAAAATTACAGAAGGCCTTTGTTGTTAAACTTAAATCAACTGATACTAACAACTACTTGTTTGTCATCTGTACAAACTAATTCTATTGATCAAGCAATAAACATCATCATTTAAGAAAAACATTATGGATTGACATATATTTCTATTCCTAATGTCAGCCATAGGGCTGGAACTGATATTTATTTTGCTTGACTATTAGCCCAAATGCTGGTTTTCATTGGGACCTAACACGAGTGCCTTTATGACTAATGTGTTCCTTATTTGTCTGTAATATATTTGAAATGGAGTTCCTCTGCTAAACTGTCTGAAACAAGAGTCTTTCCAAGATAGCTCACTTACTAAACTGGATTCACATGAAGTGTATCATTAAATATTTTATAATTCTCTTATTTTCCAGCTGGGCTTGAGATGAGAGAAAGGTAATAGAGTTTGTTCTGCTGGTGGTAGAATAGATCTGACCTGATAGTCATCATTTTTAACTTACAGAACTCTAAACACTAGTATTCTTCAAATCATAGGGAGTAAAATGATATAAAATAGGAAGTAGAAGTAGGATTTTGCAGTAATCTATAAAGAATTTGAATACATTTAAAGGAAAAACACCGTAAAGAATGTTATCCTTAGGTTTTTGTTTTCCTGAATCATGCTTTGGCTTTTATTTCTAATTCTAAACTTAGGATCCTAAAGGTGTAGAAAATGAGTAGAACATCTGGAGTGTGTAAAACATTTTGCGTAAATGAATAAAAGGAAAAGACAGTTGACATGAATCTCAATAGAAACCCCAACTCTATGGGCCAGAGTTAAGCAAATCTGCTGCCCTCTGGAGGCCTGTTTTGGAAAGCCATCACGTATGATTGGTATTAGTGAAGTCACCTCGCTTGATTTGTACTTCCTGGTCTAGATCAAACTTAGAGTCATGTTTTCAGAGCCCTTTAAATGTCCAGGAAGAACTGTGCTCTATAAGCATCAAGTACTGGTTCAAGAAGGTAGGGATTCTTAATGGGCTGTGGTGCCAGGCTGCCTGGGTTCCAATCCTGTCTTTACCACCTATTGGTTGTGGGACTTTGGGCATATTATTTACCTTCTATGTGACTCTATTTCCTCATTTATAAGATGGAGATAATAACAGTATTTATTACCTCAGAGGGGTTATTTTATTACACGAATTGAGATACATACACCTTCTTCCCATTTAGAGAGACAATAATTTCATATGAGAGTATCATTTAAAAATTTTAATAAACATTTTTTTAAAAGTATAACTTACATGTAGAACAGTATACAGATTGTTTAAGTATGTAGCTTGATGAATTATCACAAAGTGACATACCCATGTAACCTCCAGCCAGAACAAGAAACAGAACGTCACCAGCGTTATGGGCTGAATGTTTGTATCCCCCCCAAATTCACATGGTGAAATTCTAACCCTCAATACGATGGGAATTGGATATGGGGCCTTTGGGAGGTAATTAGTTAATGAGGGTAGACCTCTCATGAATGGGATTAGTGCTGTCTGCCCCTTCCACAATCTAAGGACATGTCTAGAAGATGGTTGTCTCTGTACCAGGAAGTGGGCTCTCACCAGACACTGAATCTGCTGGTGCCTTGATCTTGAACTTCCCAGCCTCCAGAATTGTGAGAAATAAATGCCACCCAGTCTGTGGTAGTTTATTACAGCAGCCTGAACAGACTAAGGCAACCACCATCCCAGAAGCCCTTTATGCCCCTTCCATTTCTTCTCCTATCCTGCTTTCTCCCCAAAGGGAACCACTATCTTAACTTCTAATATCATAGATTTATTTTGCCTGGTTCTGAGCTTAATATAAATGGAACCATACAATATATACTCTTTTGTGCTTGCCATCTTTCACTTAACTTTTATTTCTAAGATTCATCCATATTTTAAGTCACAGTATTTCGCTCATTCATATTGCCGTATGGTATTCTATTGTGTGACTCTACCAGAAGTTTTTTATCCTCTTCTGTTGATAGACGTTTGTGTTATTCTCAGTTTCAACTATTATGAATAGTGTTGCCATGAACATTCTCATACATGTCCTTTGGAGCACAGTTCTGTGGCATATTTACTTGGAACTAGAATCTCTGGGTCATAAGGTAGGCATACATTCAGCTTGAATTGATGCTGCCAAACAGTTTTCTAGATGTACCAGGTTACACTCTCGTAGCCGTGTGCGGGAGTTCTAGTTTCTTCAAACCCTCATCAACTTTTGATACAGTCTTTTCAATTCTAGTCATTCTGGTAGATGTAGTGTTCACTGTGGTTTAATACCTTTCCCTCATGACTAATGAGGTTGAGCACCTTTTCATATATTTATTAACTATTTGGATCTACTCTTTAAACTTCTGTCACCTAGTCTCTAAAGTAGACATGAAAGTAATACCCCCAAACTTTGTTTTAAGTATCAGCTGAGATAATATATGTGGAAGTACTTGGCAAACATTTCTAAAACACAACGAAAACTTTAGTTTGTGGGTTTTTTTTGTGTTCAATTCCATTATCATTTCTAAAGCTTACGATTAGAATTATTGAAACAGTAGGGAGTAAATGTTTATCTACAGAAATGGGAGGTGTCTGAAACAGATTCATTGACACCAGTGTTACTGCATGTGTCGTTTTGAAATTGATGACATGTGTAAATGTTCAGTAGCTTGCAATGATTCTCTGTTCAGACAAGCAAGAAAACACAATTTAATAAAGGGAGGATTCAATTCGTGTTTGAAAGAACCACAAAAATACCATTTGGTATAAATTTGCGAAGAGGCCAGCTCTTTGAGCTGTGTGGTATGTGCTCCAAAAGTTTCTAGAATTTGAGGCCAGAGAGGTAAAACTGCATGCTGTCTT